TATATTTAAAAATAATAATAGACTATTTATATCTATTAATTAAATCATAATTTTTTTTTAAATATTTTATATATTTACAGTTTAAATAAGAAAATTTACAAATATACATTATATTTCTTTATTTACCTTGGTTTCTTTGATAAATTGCAGAAGTTTTATGACTGTGTTTTGCATCCTATTCTAATGATTATTGCAGATGCAATGATGGATTTTTACTCAAGGCATTATTTCCGCACTCGATACATTTTTTTAGAATATGTTTTGTAAGTTAATTATTCTCCAATTACCCTTTCAATTAACTCTTTTATCCTTGATAGAATATAGTTATTAATATTTTATATACTACATTTAAATGAGATATTCTTTGGTACTTAAATAGTCTTTTCTGTCACCCTTCCAGTGTATAGGACATTATCATGGCCATTATCAAGTCTTCAGATATTTTTTCTATTTCCTATACCTCAGTGATAATTTTTATATTTTTGGAATTAGTTCTTCACCACCATTCTCTATCAATTCTGCTAGAATCTCGTCTTCTTTAGGTGATTAGAGATCCTTTAAATTTCTAATCGGAAACCTGATGTTCTCTAAAGACACGCTAAGATATATCAAAACGTTTCTGGTATTCCGATTTGATAAGGGTGGGACTTTACTTGGTTGTTCGCAATTCAATTATCAATATTAAGGGATTTTAAATATTTTATTTGTTGTACTTTATTTTCCAGCAAATAAGTGATATATTTATTTTGATAATTTCTGTTATATTCTTTATTATTTCTATATTGAAGGTCATTCCATAGAAATAACTATTTATAATGCAGGATTAAACATTCTTCTAATTCTATGACGTATTCTTTTATTTTCATTGTTTTTAGTAATTTATCAAATATTAATTAAAGGTTGCCCGATCCTAAAATTTGTATACACCACTGTTAGTATATTATTTGTCATTAGTTAACTCTTTTTCAGTTGTAGTAGGTGTGAATAACATCCAATGATAAAATTGCGTGGGATTAACGCATATTTGTATAATGTCGTAAGTGCATCATACTGATGTATAGTATTTGTTCATTCATGCTGTGCTTAACCTACTTTGTATTTTTTATACTAATGTTTTAAAATTGTTTCTTATTTACCGTTAGATTAAATAAGTTGTATTCAAATTATGGTTACTTTATTGACGGATTTATCGTTGATCTTTATTATTATTCAATTTCACGTAAAACATTTGCTCTTAAAAATAATATGACAAGTATACCATTTTTTAGTTGTTCATAAAGCGTATCGTGATTGATGTTATATCATAACTGGCAGTCATGCTGCGACACGATGTGGCGTATCATAGCCAATGGTTAAATCACATTGACTGAATTATAATAATCGAAGTGGTTATTAAAATAATTGGTATTGAACCGTTCAAGAGCCTATACGGCGTAAGAGTCCTTATTAAAATTAATGTTATATTATAGTCATGAACTAATAGTTGATAAATATCAAATCTTGGGCCATTTTTACATGTTTTTAGTCGATATAAAGTTATTGAGCTAAAATTGAATGTATAATATAGATTATAAGACGTTGTTATATTTTTATATTTTACTCTTTAAGAATATTATTTTTAGTATATTAAACAATTGTATAAAACTCGATTTTCTTTTTGTTTAAATATATATAATTATTAATCAAAATTGAGTAATGAAAGTTTTGTTTTCGCAAAGAATTTAAAGAAAAAATTTTGATTTAAGATAATAATTAAATGTAGTTCTAAAAAAATATTATATATACTTATTTTTAAATAAATCAGGTTTATGAATTATTTTATACAATTTTAATATTTAACCAATTAACTTTTGAATTGCTTTATTTATTAAAAAAAAATGGTAAACAGCTAATTTTTTTTATATTTTAATATTATGATATTGAATAGCAAAAATATTAAATTAAAAAAACTTTATCATTATTCTGTTATTTTAAATAAAACACCTGATTATTTGCATATTGAAACTTACACAGTACTAACTAGACTTTTAGCCCGTCAATGGTGTAAGAGTACGCTTTTATTTTTCATTTTATTTCAGTTAATAATAATTAAATAAAGATAAAATCTTGCTATTAATATTTTATTTAAATTTTGATAGTTTGTCTAGTTTAATAAATAATAATTATTATTTATTCACTAACACAAATTACAAATCATATGCAATAAAACAATTGTACACTTTTACATTTAGTTACTCTAAAATGAGAGAAAATTTTATATTGATAATTAACGTAAAAGAATGTGTATGAACCTAGTAAGATTTAAATCTCGGACAAAGTAAGTAGCTATGGTTAGGAAAGTCATGGACACTATCCGCACATGAGTCCCAGCATAGTAATCACAAAACAGTATATAAGTCCCTTAATGTGTTAGCTTCGATGCGTAGCTGAGAAGGTATTAATTTTACTATCATGTGTTTTTTTTCTTTTTTTGTGTCTGTTACTACTTTTTCTCAGCTCTCACTGGACCGATTTCTTTTAACAATACGTCAAAAGATCACAAATTGTATCTAGTTGAAAACATTATCCTTATAAATTGAAAAAATTGTCCTCGTTCCCTGTAAATGGGGGAAATCTCCAAAAAAATTACAAATTTATAAAACGCTAATTTTCTAAATTTTTTCAATTTTTTTTACTTAAAACTGTCATAACTTTTTTAAAAATGAACAAATCAATATATTTTTTTTTTTTTATAGATGCTTGATGTCCTTAACTATCATTTGGTATATATTTTTTGTAAATTTAACCCTTTATCTGCCCACAGGAGGGGATTTAAAAAGACAACTTTTTCAACTTAACTTCTGAAAATGTTCCGGAAGGTCTGACACTTTTATATTTATCTTAAATTAAAGCTAATGTAATATGCTTTATTATGAAAAAAAAAATGTCGAACTTTATTTTGTTTTTACGGTGAAAATGGCTACCGTATGCAATTTTTGTGTTAAAATTCTCGATTTTATATTTTACATTTTTAACTTTAAAATGTTATAACTTTATGAAAAATGTATGGGATAAATACAATTTTTTTATGAGAAATAATATTTATATACTTCTTTAATTTGACCTACTTTTTTTTTAAATCGGACCATTTTCCTTAATACAAGGGGGGTTCAAAACATAAAAATGCATATAGAAAGTAGAACTTTTTCAATTTGACTTTTGAAAATGTTCCGGAAGATCTGACACTTTTATATATATCTTAAATTAAAGCTAATGTAATATACTTTATTATGAAAAAAAAAAAATTTCGGACTTTATTTTACCTTCACGGTGAAAATGGCTACCAAATGCTATTTTTGTGTGAAAATTCTCGATTTTATATTTTACATTCTTAACTTCAAAACGCTATAACTTTTAGAAAAATGTATGGATCAACACAATTTTTTTATGAGAAATAATATTTATATACTTCTTTAATTTGACCTACTTTTTTTTTAAATCGGACCATTTTCCTTAATACAAGGGGGGTTCAAAACATAAAAATGCATATAGAAAGTAGAACTTTTTCAATTTGACTTTTGAAAATGTTCCGGAAGATCTGACACTTTTATATATATCTTAAATTAAAGCTAATGTAATATACTTTATTATGAAAAAAAAAAAATTTCGGACTTTATTTTACCTTCACGGTGAAAATGGCTACCAAATGCTATTTTTGTGTGAAAATTCTCGATTTTATATTTTACATTCTTAACTTCAAAACGCTATAACTTTTAGAAAAATGTATGGATCAACACAATTTTTTTATGAGAAATAATATTTATATCTCTCTTTCATTCGACATACTTTATCTTCCTCAGGATATAAATATGCATTTAGCAGATCATGTAGCTTTTGAATAATCCACCAATTTTTCAAAATTTAACACTATCTAAAGATTTGCATCGAAGCGTTTTTTTTTATAGTGATTTTAATCACTGTCTGATATCATTATACTTGATCCTACTATGCCACGTCACCACTGTGCCGCGACCCCCCTATGCTGGATTTTTTTTAATGCTTGTCTTCACAAAATATCCTAACACATATTGATTTATTTGAAGTTAATGGAACATAAGATTTTAAAAAATATTAGTTTTTATTGTGAATTTATAATGTGAAATGTATAATTGAGTTTGAAATCGTGGTTGGTTCTCTGTGTGTCTGTTCTAAAAATAAAAATAGTAAACTTTGCCTTCAAAATCACATTGGAATTAGATTAGTGACTTCGTCAAAGTAAACGTATAAAATTTGAGTTTACGCGTATATAAAAGGCTATCTGGTAG